TATTTTTTTCTATAAATTTCAAGATCATGAATGGTACCTAATTAAAAAAAATAAATATTACTGTATAGTTTTAAGTATTATAACAAACGTAAGGGTATCGAAACTAGTCGCTCAACACCTTTGTAAAAAATTGAAGAAAAGAAATTATATAAGATTATGAGGCATATGTGTCTTTTATTACCTCATTTAAGGACAGCCGTTACTTAAAAAAAAACTATTTTCTCAATACACGAACGAACACCAACTAGATAGACACAGATAGGCCGTTATGCGTTTGGCCATAATTTTGATGGCCATAATATGGTTCAAAATACTAGGTATATATTTGAGGTACCTATATCTAGTTTTAATTCTGTAATAATTAAAATATGTTTTAAACGTGTTTTTTTTTCATTGTCTTTGAGTATTTTACTCTACATCTTTTAATTTTTGTTAAATTAACAAATCCAAAAAAATCCTTTATGGGTATTTCGCCACTGCACGGCAAGAAAATCTACAAAATAAAATAATTATTTTTTGTAAACACTTCTGCATTAAACCTAAAATGGACGCTGCTTGTCAGAAGTTATGTTTACAGTAATACAAATTTGCCTAGCAAAGAAAAAAAGTGCTTAACGTTTCGGAAAGTTATCTCTTTCCGTCGTCGGAAGCAAAAAAATACAAAGAATAAAGAAAAAAACTATTTAAAATATTTAAATTCAACTATTCGAGAACACTTTACTTTTTTAAAACAGATACGTCTACAAGAAACCGTTGACGTTCTGTTAAAATGACATTTTTAACTTGATATTTAAACTTGAAAATTAACACTATGATTATTTTTAAATTTTACGTATGTTATGTTTATTTATCTTGTTGTATCTATTGTTCTTTAAAATCAAAGAAGCGATTGCCATACATTACTAACATCTACAGATGCACGAGCAATACATTTATTTTTATTAGATTGAATTAAAAAAGCCTCTTTTATTTTTCTTTTAGAGGCTATCGCTTCTTTCATTATAATTTTGGCGTTATTAAAATTTATTCTGTGTCCTGTGTCCCAAGAATGCTGACAAATCTTAGATTTGTGACAATCTCCCTTTCTTAAATAATCTTTATGTTCGTTAATTCTAACATTTAAGGATCTAGATGTTTCACCAATGTAAAATTTATCGCATTCACAGGGTATTTGTTATATTATATATAATTATTTGGTATATTACATATAATTTTTTTATTGGTGTTTAAGTGTTTACAAAAAATAATTATTTTATTTTGTAGATTTTTTTGCAGTGCAGTGGCGAAATACCCATAAAGGATTTTTTTGGAAAGAGGAATCCGCCACATAGGTATAGATATTTTTTAAAAAACATATATATATATATATATATATATATATATATATATAATAAAGTACTTATTATTATATATATATATATATATATATATATATATATATATATATATATATATATATATATATATATATATATAATAGCCTTAAACAAGGATAATAGCCAACTACATTTTTTCAAATGATCTAGAATTTCTAAAATATCTTCAAAAATCCTTGTTTAAGGGGTAAGCAATAATATTTTGAAGATATATGAATTCCCCATTGAATACCGAAATAATATACTGGGTGTTCCATGTTCCAATGTTCCATATTAATTTTTTCTCACCCTGTGTCATTCGGGTTAAATTTTAATTTGGTTTAACATACAATGCTTATTGAATATATAAACAAGGATAATAGCCAACTACATTTTTTCAAATGATCTAGAATTTCTAAAATATCTAGAAAAATCCTTGTTTAAGGGGTAAGCAATAATATTTTGAAGATATATGAATTCCCCATTGAATACCGAAATAATATACTGGGTGTTCCATGTTCCAATGTTCCATATTAATTTTTTCTCACCCTGTGTCATTCGCGTTAAATTTTACTTTGGTTTAACATAAAATGCTTATTGTAATTAAATATCAGGCTATACAGGGTAAATTAAAGTATATGCAGATATTATTCAAATTTAAAATTTACTCTTCATTTTCATAAGATATATGAAATATATCAAAATCTTTACGTTTTAGGCATATGCTTCTTTAATATTTAAAACTCACCTTTACATTTTTTCTAGAATCCGAAAATCAATTAATATATAGGGTGTTCCATTACAAAAAACACACCTTTGATGTGTAACTTTTTTTGGAGACACCCTGTATACCTCCATATATTTTTAATCTAATGTAGTAGGTATATTTAGTACTGTGTTGTTTAGTGCTTCAAAGAAAGAAACTTTGAACGTTACGACAATAATTTTCACTGAGAACTTGTTCTAAAAACTGAAACACATCATACTGGTTGAAAGTGATACAATGAGTGAACGTAAAAGTAATAAGTATATAGCGAGCTCGAGAATTGCCTCTCGAAGATAAATATATCTTCAAACTGTTGAAACCCTAACAATCGCTTAAAAAAACGTTACAATTTTACGGCACGGCCATCATACATCATCGGCTTTGTTACGGGGCATGTAGTTATACCGGATCTGCCAATAAAGAACATTATTTATAACTTGGCATACTAACCCTCGTGCTGGAGCCGTAATGATATATGGCGGCGAACAGCTCCTGCAACAGCCTCCCAAGTCTTATTTACGACCTTAAATGAATTTAAACCACAATTAAGTATAATAAAGAGATGGTGGACGGAAAAAGGTCATTCCGTAAAGGATGACACCTGACCAATAAAGTACTTATTGTTAGAGTTTTATAATGGTTCGAATATATACAGTGATATTAAGATATTACTATATTATGGAGGACCATGGATTTTTTCTCGATATTCAATGTCGTTATGTTAATTTTTCAAAAATATTATTGCTTTATTTTATAACAGATTCATTGCAGATTTGATATTTAGGCAAATAGCCCATTGACCTGCCGTTACTCGCGCTTCGTTTTTCTACGTCAGTGCTTATTGGTAATTGCGTGGGGTATTTTAATACCCCATTTAATTTTTTATGAGAAAAATAAAAAAAACATGGATGTCGTATTAAAATTTGTCAGACAATTTTTCGAATAATTTCTTTTTTAAAGTTTTGTTTGTATTCAATTATTAAAAATATTATTTATTTAAAGATTTTCTATGTAGGAAAACTTGCAAGAGTCTTTCGTAAGACCAAGAGTTCGTGCAAGAGAAAAGAATGTTTAACAAAGTATTTCTTAAATATTGTAGTACTCACACCTACACACTACGGTTAAAGAATACACTCACCAAGTTATCTAAGTACAGTGCTGTACAGTACTGCAGGATTAATATACAAGTGTTGCTGAAAAGGTTTCTACTACACAATGATATACACCATTTTTTCAAAAATTTATTTATATTTTTTTCGAACATGTATTTATAAAGTTACACTTCATCAGCTGTAACTAATAAACTATTACTAAATTTGCATATCTTATACATATATTTTTTATATTCCCATTCGTCACGATTTCTTGACTAATTGGTTGCAATATACATATACCTTCAGTTTTATGAAAAAAATAATTAACTAACATTTTTATACAATCAACTTGTGATATTACTTAGATAATACTTAATTAATCTTTACATTATTATCAACTATAAGCATCCCAACTGAGAATGTGAATGTATTAAGTATTTTATCAGTAACACCTGAATGTAAAAAGCCCGAGAGAACTTGAAAATTCAATTTTTTTTTCTTATATTTCATCATAAAATAACAACACATTGAAGAACATTCTATATGGCTTAATCATAGAATATATACATTTAAAAAAATTCTAATGTCATTTCCTGTAAGAATGTTTTTTTGTTTATTCGTCATCGGCCAAAACACTTGGCTTGATCATATAACTTTTTTATCATTATAATAAAAAAGTATCTGCTTAAGTTCATAATCTGCTAGTTGATAACAATAATTAAAAAATATGGCATCAAAAGCGATAAAAAGTCTTACTTGTAGTCAACCATTCTTATAAAACATCTCAGAATGATACAAATACATTGTGTAAAATCTGTCGAACGAGCCAGGGAAAATTTCGACAGACGACATCCAAAAAATGACAGAAAATACAATTTACCTGCGCATTAAAACACAGACATAAATGTCACTGCCACGTATCCCTCTTGTTGGACAGATTATATATTCCATTTGTATAGTTTTTGCATGACTATTTTGATATTTCTTTCAAGATTGCATTTTCATTAATGTCTCTAGTCTCTAGAAATAAACTAATGATTGTTAAATTTAAATTAGTATTCAGTACTACAGATGTAGAACAAACTTGTACTAGTCAGTACTGGCTAATTCGGTATCGATAATATTTTTTCTTCCGAACAAAGTTACCGTGTGGAGGCGTTTTATTGAAAATCTATAAATACGATCACGAGAAATAAATCAATATTTCAAAAAATCTAACCTACGCATATATCGTGACGAAAGTATACCAGAATCCGATAGTTTAATGTCTATGACTAACATACAAGATAGAATATCACGATTGTTAAAGATTTTAATAAACTATTTATTTTTATTATAGTATAAAAACTTTTGTTATATTAAACTTTTTATCATATCAAAAATATTTGGACCATTTTGTGTTTTATAATCGAACATTATCAAATTTAATCGAATAACAACTAAATTAGTGATGGGCAAATGCAAAAGCTCTTGGTCTAGCAGTTAATGAGTACTCTTTGTCTTGCAGGGTACAGTCTTGGTATTGGTCTTGATCTTGCTACAAGACTCTTGCTAGTCTTGCATTTTGTTAATATATTTTTACTAGATTTCTACTTTCTATATCTTTAAATAGGTAGAATTTTTACAAATTTAATGCAAATAAAATTTTAGAGGAAGATATTATTAGAATATCTGACGATTTTTTTTTCAATATGTTATACAGAAAGCATTTCATTCTTTAAAATTATTTTATGCAGTAGGTAGTCGGGAAACACCAAAGACATCTAAATATAGGTTTGTAAAAAAAATAGAAAAGCATTATTTTCCCCAACATTTAAATTACTGGAAATGCTAGTCTTAAAACTATAGACTTGATTGCTTGTTGGCATGGGTCTGTGCATAAAGCCACCATTTTTGGACATTAAGGACCCGCATGGAGACTGGTGACTTTTCAAATTAAATCCTGCTTGGTTAGTGGTCCGTAAATTTACTTACTGTTAGATCATTTATATAAAATATATTCCTTAAATATTTGAGTAGGTATTCAATTTAGAAATATATTACGAATAAGATGAATTGAAAGAAATTTTTTAAAATTAAATGTGATAATATTCAAAGGGTTCATATACTCTATTAAATTATTTTATTATCTGTTATAAGGTGAGATTGCATATGCATTGAGGGGATATATGCAGAAATAGAGCTGAAGAAATGTTTCAGAATTATCGTTATATGGAAACGCCACTTTCCAATATGTGTTTTATGGTATAAGACCAAAATTACAAAACACAATGTCAGTTATTATTGCACAACAGTGAGTTAAGAAAAATATTATCTGTTTAATTATAGAACAAAATTTAAAAAATTTAATGTATGTACTTAAATTTTTAGATTTTGTTGTTTCAATGCGCTACACAATACAGCCAGAATGATGCCTGAACAAGAGCTGCCGCCGTTAGATGAAATAAATATGGACCAAATTAATAAGAAGAGAAATAATAAATTAGTTTGAAAGATTAGGGCAATATTTTTTTTTAACTTATTCTAAACATGTTTTTATGTTGTTATTAAATCTCTTGAGTATTAATTTCTATAAAATATCATTATTAAATGTCTTTTATTCAGAAATAACATATATTACATTTTTTACATGACAATATAAACACTAATTAAAATTATTAAATAAGTTCTCTTTGAGAACTTTACTGTTCTTTTTTTATTTCAATGTCTAACAACCCTTTTTTTCTTTAGCTTATGTTCTTCTCTGTTTTGAATACTACTACTTTGAATTTTGCCCATCTCCATATTACAAAAGAACAGCCTTTTGTCTAGTAAATTAGTATCATCCCTTTTCTTCTGTTTCTTTGTAACCATCAGTTTTGTTTTGAGACTGAAAAAATATCTAAATATATTGAATTCTCTTAAAAGTAATAAAAAATTCAAAAACACAATGAAAGGTTAGTATTTACAATACCAGTACTCCTATTAGTTTTAGACAATCTATCACCATCATGTTTTTTAATCCCACAATGCTCTTCTCATTTTTACATTGATTGAATATATTATTATCTTCCGTTTTTGCTTTTTGTATACGTGGACCTCCACCAGTTAAAATATATTTTAATAATTGATTTTCTTTTACATAGTATTTATACATACGTTGTAAGCTTTCCATACAAATTAGAAAGCCCAAAAATCCCGTTTTTCTTCGTGACTATGGTTGACCTTTCTTTTAAAGTAAGTCCAATAATATACAATTTAATTATTTCAAAATTATTAAAAAGTATGTTGTTCTTATATTTTTGATAATTTTTTTATATGAATATTTTGTAAATCTATTCTGAGAGTTAAAAATATCAACAATATTGTTGAAAACTAAATGGAATTTAGAGGCCTCCTAAGAAAACTCTGGGCCAGTTTATGTATCCCTTATAAAATTCTGTTTTCGGCAAATAAAATGACAATGTTAAAGCAAAGGATAGTAGCAGAAGATTGGATTTTTGTGTGGCAGGTCCTTTTAACATTCTTTCAAAAATACTTTGTACTGGTTCAGCTAAGGAAACCTAAAAAAACATATATTATCTCTATTAATGTTATATCTCTATAATATTATTAGTCTTTTTTAGACACATCCAAATTCACTAAAGGGTTTTAAAATTTAGACCTGGGGCGCTATTCTGTACAATCGTCGGTATCGGTAAGTTACCGACAGCTATCGGTACGTGCGGCCAATGAGCGTCGTGTTGATTGTTGTTGTCATAGCTACCGATCGGCCCTTTGGCAGATATCGCAAATTTGTACCGACGAAAATCGGTATCTCTACCGTGCCCTTGTCAACCTCACGGTAGAGATACCGAGAGTTGTCGGTACAAATTTGCGATATCTGTCATAGGGCCGATCGGTAACTATGACAACAACAATTAACACATATTTACTATATGCAAATACGTACCGATAGCTATCGGTAACTCACCGATTCCGACGATTGTACAGAATAGCGCCCCTGGCCTTGTCATGGAAATTAGAACCTTCCATTAATCGTATTTATGCCACTGTCATATGGATTAGTGTATCATTCACAAAATTAGACCAGAACTAAATTTAAAACTTGTTAATGAATCTTGGGGACAGATTTTGACATAATGGCTGCAGGACTAAATTATTAAATGGCTGATAACTTTACATTATTATAGTTCCCCTCCGCCCGCCACTCAAATATATACATAAAATAGTGTGTCCAAGATAATAATTACAAGCACTGGGATCTCAGAAACAGTAAGAGATACAGCTTCAATTATTAGAAATTGCTTTTAGCGATTTTTACTTGATTTTTATATTTTTTTGGATCCTCACATCTAACCTTTGACTTATAACCATTATGTTTTTAAAATGTCACCCTGCATACCTATATTCATACCTGAATCGTCAATTCAGTTGATTCACTTATCAAAGATTTTTCTTTTAAGTAATCAATTAACTGATGCATATATATTATTTTATTTTTCAATCTTCTAAGACCTATTTGTAAAGTATGTATTTTTCATTTTCTTTGTTTCCAAATTTTGTTTCCAAATTTCCAAAGACTTAAATTTCTACATAATATCATTATAATGCCTCATTAACATACTTCTTTCTGAAATTAAAATAACTTATGCACAATTTTACTTAAGATACAGGGTGGCGCCTCTTAAATGCTACCAAGGAGAAAGAGTTTGTATTGAAATTAAATTTTGGGAGTATATGTAGGTTAATTTAGAGCATTTAAACATATAAATGTGATAAAATATGGAGTTCTACAGGGTGTCGCCAAAAAGTTACACAACAAAGTTTTATTTTTTGGAATGGGACACCTTATATATTATTTGATTTTCGGATTCTATGAGAAAAATAAAGGTGAATTTCATTATTGGACTAAAATGTAATTTTATTCCCTTTTATTTGAAATGAACACAGCAAGTTCCCTTTTATTTGAACACCCAGAATACTATTCCGATCTTTTAATTGCAGTGTGCATTCATCAATTAATAGAATGCTTAAGGACAAATTTTAATTTTGTTAAATATACAATGAGTAAATTTCCATCTAGGTAGCTGTTATTGAAATTTAAAGTTTATTCATTATCTTCACCAAATGTGAAATATGACAAGCCTTACATATTAGACATATGCTTCTTTAATGAAACTCACCTTTATTTCTTTCCTAGAATCCGAAAATCAATTAATATATAGGTGTTCCATTACAAAAAAAAACTTTGATGCATAACTTTTTTTGGGGACACCCCGCAGAACTCTTGATATTTCTGTAAAATGCTTCTCATTATCCTACATATGCTCCCAAAATTACATTAACGATAAAAATCACCGTTCTCTTTGGAGCCTCCGCGTCGTAGGAGAGGCACCACCTTGTATATAATGTAGAGGTAATTTTTACCTTTTTCTGATACTTTGACGACTTTCTTGAGATAATAAATATCCAACTATTGGGAGATCAGAAGATGAGGATTGTCTTACTATGCTGTAAACAAACAAAAAAACATTAATAATTAATTTTTCAATAAAACCTATTTTCGTTTTTAATTTTTTCCTAAATACTAATAATTTCCTTCTATAGTATTAAATTTATCATTAAGCGAGAATGTTTCCTAGTGCAAAACAAAAGCTCACTCATAGAAAATATATGTAAACAAAAACCAACACTATGGCAAAAATTATGTAGTTTATGATCTTATAATGTGGAAGATAATTCCAAATAACATATCCTTGACAAAACATATAAAATAAAAGATAGCTATGTTAATTATACAGGGTTTCTGGATATTCGACCGATAAAGTCTCGTATTTTTATAAAAATTAAGATAGGGAAGTAAACCCATAAAGTGCTTAATTAATAAGATACAAAGTGATATTAGTAATGTTATATTACGTTATATTGTTCTATTAGATATTATAACAGCTTCCTTGAAATCTATTACTGCTAATGACATAAACAAAGTGTCCCCTTTTCTGCGAGAAAGATAGAGATGTCAATTTTTAAATAATTAAGACGGCAAACAAAAGCAGAAAAAATGTTATTTTGAAAAAGCTCAATGTGTCAAAGTATCCCGTCTACTATAGTTACGTCAAAAGTATGATTAAGAATGTATTTAGATTTTTTACCGCAAAAATTGTGTCTACGAAATTTCGCGTCTCTATTTTTTTAAAGAAATACCTGGATATGTCAAAATTAAACTTACTATTGTGACACCCTGTATGTTAAAAAGTAAATACTTCGCAAGAGGGTGTACACCTGTATTCAATAAGGCACAGTACACTACTTGACAATAATAGTTATAATGAGAGTATTTCATTTAAAATATATTACATACTAGTTGAAGCCTGGCGCATCCGCCACGACATCAGGAAAAAAAAATACTTATTATTTTTTTTAATTAAATGAAAAATAAAAAATCCGGCGATGAGCCAATTAGCTATCTTTTAGTAAAAAAAGCAACTTTCTAGAGCAAGTCGTTACTTCAGTAGAGACGACACAGATAAACATTAGCATTTTATATTATTATTATATTATATATATTACTTTGTTATGAATACAGCTATATTCCCATTCTGTTAAAAATACAAGAGCTTTTAAGCCTTGTCAGTCAAACATCCAGAATACACTTACAAAGAGCACATACTGGTTAATTCCAACTTCTTTTTCCAATGCCGTTTCTGTTGTTTTGAGGGAAGGGCTTCTTGAGAAGGGCTAGTTTATCTTGTATGATTTTAGGCAAAATCCTGTGAATTTTAATTAATTATCAATATTAAAATACATGTATAAAATGTATCAATGTTCTTACAAATTTGAGGGGCCAGCCAAACTGCCAATCGCGGGACTAGGTAGGGACCTTCTCTAGTCCCTCAGCTGGTCTGGAGGTTCATTTACCTAAAACATTTTTTGGGTGGCGGTACAAACTAGAAGAAAACCTAGAGTAAATACTAATATTAGTACAATACTTATTTATTAACTGTTAAAATGTATTTGACTGCTTTTTACCTGTATGATAAAGCCCCAGCAAAAATGGTACTATCTATTTGAGGCTCAGAATTTGGTCTTATTTGCCTTCGATCAGTTAATTCGGGATCATAATATTGCTCTTATCAAAATCATCAGAACAAATTTGGACACACATTAGTTTGATTTTTCAAATTCAAGAGTGAAATCGATCATTGTCTAAGCTCAGTAATTATAGGAACGCTACAAAAGTACTATTGGTTACATATGCAACACATACATATTAAGTATTATAAATCTATTTAATAATATATGTAAAATAATAAAAATATGCGGTAAAAAAAAGGAAAAATTAACCTAAAGGAAAAATTTTCCAAGGTTTATTTTCCTCTATTTAAAACACCAGCTATGTACTCGTCTGTGAATTGTGTGCGTGTGTATGGGTGTATAGGTAAGTGTGGGTAAAAGTGTAAAGGGTTCCAAAACTAAAAAAAAAAATATCATAAATGAAAGAGTAAAGAATTATCATAAGTAAGGCTTATCATTATTATTCAAAACAGTGCATATTTTTTAAGTACTGAAGCATCATTATAATTTTATTTATTTTATTAACTTTTTTAATTTGAATTTTGAATACCTATATCTAAACCTTTCCTATTATATAATTACTTATAGAATTTTTTATAATAAATAAATAATAGATCAATCATGTGTTACGGTTAATATCTAAAACCTGCTAATGTTAACTAGAGTTCAATAATATTAATATTTAGATTGCAAAAACAGTTTTCTTTCAACATTGGGGGAGAAATGTGGAAATTATCTAGCCAAAGTCTGAAGTAATTATAAAAATTAAATGTCTTTAATTGAACATTAGCTAACTTTGTCATACTAATTTAGCATACATATAGGTACATAGTTAATATAGAATATAACTGAATAATTTTGATGTTCAAATCGTGTTCAAATTTCAGGTATTAACTACCTATAACAGCAACAGCTGTTTTATTCAGCAGATATTAGCCATAACATACACAATTTTTAAGATATTTATAGCGGTTTCGAATGTTAGTTGGTACTTAGATATAATATAAAAAAGGTTTTTAAATGTTAAGTTGAGAACAGCCAGTATTACCTCTGAGCATTTTTTACCACCAACTGTAACAGCGAAATGGACAAATACTTAAAATAATTGACTTAAAACGTAGATCGGTTTTGCCAAGGTTTTGCCTGAGGTCTAACTGAGGATAAGTCTAATTTCACAATCAAAAACGACAGCAAATAAGAAAATATACGTATTTTTGTAATAATCTACTTATAACTAAAAGTACTTAGATACGCTACTGTAAAGGCATTGCTAAAGGTAAAAAAATGTAATAACACTTACCGTCCAAATATCAATCAGGAGTTAGAATAGTCCACCTTTAACAAACTATGCACTGGTGAACCATTGTAGATAGTTAAAAAACTACTTTAAATAGTTTTCTTTGCAATAAACACTAATAATTATTCGAAAGTTGTCCGAAATCCACAAACACTTCCAACGGTCGCAGAAAACTCGCAACAATGCTCCGTTGGACAAAAGTTGAATGAATACGTCAAATGTCAGCGTAATTCCTACAGATTCCGACAATTCGTAGTAAAAATTAATCCGTAGCGATGCCGGATTGTTTTAGTAATTTCCCCTAATATATTTTAATCGTAATTTTAATATAATTTAATTAGAAAACTAATAATAATTTCAAAGGTATAATCCTAGTATAATTAATGTATTATAATTAAAATTATATATCTACACAAATATTTAGTCTAATGACCTTGTAATGACAATAGCATTTAGAACTCAAACCGTAATCAGCCGAAATCTACCAACGGTCACTTAAAATTGGCATCATCGATTTTTGTGCAACACGGTTCGTGATCGCGGTAAAATGTAAATTGTTTCGTCTCCTTTTATTTAGATGTCTTTGGGAAACACCATTTATAATACATTAAAACAATCATTTTGAACAAATAAGTAATTTCTTATAGCATATCAATAGAAAAAAAAATGACTACAAAACCGCAAGAGTCGTGCAGGTTTGGTCTTGGTTTTGGTCTTGTAGAAGACTTGCATTGGTCGGTCTTGCCCCTGCAGATCAACCGCTAATCTTGGTCTTGGTCTTGAATTCTGTGCAAGACCAAGACCAGTATCGCTCATCGCTAAACTAAATTGGGACATAGTTGAGAATATTGCATTATTTCAGAGATTTATATTAATTTTATACAGGGTGGTCCGAACTGTATTCCGGAAACTTCGACAGAATATGTTGCAAATAAAAATAAGTAAACAAGTTCGTATAAATTATATATGTTTTAAAATGCTCAGTTTTGGAGATACAGAGAGTGTAGAAATTTTGTTTTTATTTTGATTTAACGATCGACTTGTAATTTTTGTTAGAACATGCTGCATGGTATTTATTACGTTTCTAATGCAATAACTGAATATTGAAAAATTCAGCACTTACCCCCTTTGGTATTTCCACTTTTCAATTAAACATGTTAACTAAATATTTATTAAAATGAAATCACAAATTTAAAATTATTTTGTGTCAAAAGTTCAACAGAAACTGTTTATCATCATTTTTTTGAAGAAAAATTTATGATTTATTTAAAAAAATAAAAAAGTTTCCAAATTTATCATTTCAGTCAAACAACTATCTACTCAACATGTTTATTTTTGTTAATAATGACATGTAATGACTATTTCCATTCTAAATATCTTGAGAACTGTTTTTAGGTCAAAAATCACGAAAATGTATATTTTTTCACTCACAGTAGTTTTATACAGGTACGGACGAAAAGTTATTACTCTTCAAAATAGTTAAAACACATGTAGATGGCGCCCCCTACATATAGGAGTCATATGGACATCAAAATCAAATTTCTCATGTGAAAAAACTCCCGGGCACCAATTTTCATCCAAATATTGGCGTTACTTCAGAAATGATTTGGAAAAAATTGAAATAAAAATGAAACTTCTAGACCCTGTATCTCCGAAACTAAGCATTTTAGGACATAGATTTATAGGAACTTTTGTACTTATTTTTATCTGCAGAAAATGGGGCTGCTGAAGTTTCCGGAATACAGTTTGGACCATCCTGTTTACGTTGTTGGAATATCGTTTGCTTAAATTTCATAGAAACTAATAAATTGTACCATTTGAAACGAAGACAACGGTGTTAAGTCGGTCCTGCACGGGTTCACGTCCGTCAAAACGATCGATCATCCGCGGAGAAATCGATCAGCAGAAGTGATTTAAGGAAACTGGAATAGAAGCGAGGTGGCTTACAGGCCCCGATGTTTGTTGTATACGAGGCATGATGAATTGGTGTAGATTCGAGTAGATTGGTATCACGGGGTACTCATTATCCTACGCCCACCGCGGTAGCGGTCATTCCCGATGCCAATAATATGATAATAACTAATGACGAGTTTTGTTATTTCAAAGCATTGTTTTCATTTGATGTATTGTTTTAGACGCGCTAACGAAGGTCAGTTAATAAAATGTTATTAATATTTAGTCCGTAATGTTTTTCATGTATGAGATATATAGAAAGTATTAAGAAATACGATATATCTATTTAAGTTTAACGGAAAAGAGTACTAGAATCTAAATTTGTAAAATTCTGTTTCTGCAATGCCCATAGAATATGGCTACTCCACCTAGAATATTGAAACGTCATTGCTCTATGTCCCACTCTATAATTGACAAAATAAAGAAGATTGGGTATAATGGAGTGCAAGTACCTATAATACCAAAACAGTTTTTACGGACATGGTCTTGGTCTTGCAGTCTAAGATGCTTGCAGTCTTGGTATTGCTGCATGATTTTTGCAATCTCGCTTTTTTTTTGATAGATTTTTACTAGAGGAAATTTCTACATACATAGATAATCTTTAAAAGTAGTTTTTCAAGTAATTTAAAGCAAATGAAACTTTAAAGAAACAATATTTGTAGGGTGAAAATTTTTATTTTTCAATATTAAGTACTAGTATAAAATTAAAATAAATAATTCGTTAAGAATCACTTGTTGAAGTTTTTTCCGTGTAATATTGTATATTATTCTTGTATTACAATCATCATCATTTTCAGCTTATTCAACAATTTATGGTGTAGCTTCCTTCATATATTTAGATTAAACTCTCTTTGTTGGGTCCATTGTGTCTATTGTTGGCTATGCGGGCCCCCCCAAGTTATCTCTGCTAATTTCCTAATAACATGGTCCCATCACAGGTTTAGTCTTCCTCTAGATTTCTTAATTCCTTGTGTGTACCATGCTGTAATTTTTGTGGTTCATCTGTTGTCCGTCCGTCTTGCCAGGGGTCCAGCCCATTGCCAATTGGGGGATTTGATTTGATTCTGTTGACGACAGCACATCGAGCGTTGTGTGACTTGCAGTTTCAACCTGTGTATTTATAGTTAATTGGGGCATTGACACTAGAACTATTTTATTTAAACGTGCATTTTAGTATTTATTTTAAATATCAGATTGGCCATAACTGAGTTGGAATTTAAGAATTTATTTACTTCTCGAAAAATCTCTATATTAAGGAGTATTCTTAGTATACAGGGTGCTACAAATTCGAGGTACGAGCATTGGTATCTCGGAAACCGTAATGGATATGAAGATGGTTAAATTGGGGCAATGTTGCTCCTTGGGATGTTCACCAAGATGCCATCAAAAATGTTTTAAAAATTTCAAGGATTGCAGAGTTTTTTGGAAAAAACGGATTGTTTTGAAAATCAATTTTATTTTTTCCTGTTGTTACTTTTTAGAAAATCAAAAAACTAATTGTACGTTATCATAGCTACTTTATTAGGGTATCTGATAGTATTTTTAGATTTTCAAATTAGCTGATAATTTGTGAGATACAGAGGCCAACTTAATTTTTTTAAATACGGACCTGCATTTTTTATTTCAAGTTTTGAAAGAACTCGGTCTCCTGTGTACAATGATTTACCACAATGATATGCCAATTGCATTTTTTAAAAAGTAATGACAGGAAAAAATAAAATTTATTTTCAAAAAAATCCAAAAAAAGATCCATCCAAAAAAACTCAGCAATCCATTTTTTGATAGCTTGTTGTCGAACATCCCAAGGCGTAACTTTGCCCCAATTTTTTTCTTCGTATCTATTACGGTTTTCGAGATACCAATGCTCGTACCTCGAATTTAGTAGCGCCCTGTATAAGCATATGTTAAAATAATAACACTTTTCAACTATTGAAGCATTGTTAGTATAGCTTCTTTTTCACGCAAAATGTCATGCAAAAATCTGAAAAAATATGAGTTAATTTAAACACAGTATAATATTAGTAATAGCAATAATTTTGTACAAATACACAAGTAAAGTTTTATATTACAATTTAACTAACACGGCAAAATTCCGTATGTATTAAGAGGAAATTATTCTTATTTTTTTTAGTAAAAGCCAGTGCTGTTTTCAGTTGGATAGATTACAATAGAGAACTTTTCTTATTTTTTAGTGTACTTACACATTTAACTATGGTAAAAATTCGATTGAACTGAGTATCGTCTGAAGCGGTCGAATGTCAAGTTATAAATTAAATATACCCAGTGTTGCATCGTCGGACGGGAAATCCCATGTAAATTTTAATGGGGTCCATTATTGGCTTCCCTAATTATTTTAGAGAATAATTCTATTTAGGTTTATTGAAGAGCACTAAAACCCACATTCAAAAGAATAACTTTAGATATTTTTTTTTTGTTTACGAGTTATCGCCGATTTCTTTTTAAATATTTCTCCTTTCTTATGGCCCTGTATGTACTTATGAGCACCAGTCAAGGTAAAAGGTAACTGTTAAATGAAGTTGTCATTTCAGAAATTTACCTATTTAGTGCTTTATTATTATTGAAAACTCATTTCTACATCGGAAATCTTAAAGATGTATCTATAAATACAAATTAATATGAATTAAAGTAAAATAAAGTAATCAATTACAAGGTTAATTATAGTATTATTACAATACTCAATAACTTATTAATTTAGGTACTATTAAATGACAACTTCATTTGACAGTTATCTTTTACCTTGACTGGTGCTTATAAGTAAATACAGGGCCATAAGAAAGGAGAAATAGTTAAAAAGATATCGGCGATAACTCGTAAACGGGCTAATCAAAAATATCTAAAGTTATTCTTTTGAATGTGGGTTTTAGTGCTCTTCAATAAACCTAAATAGAATTATTCTCTAAAATAATTAGGGAAGCCAATAATTGACCCCATTAAAATTTACATGGGATTTCCTATGTCCCGCTCGACGATGCAACACCCGTATACAATCAGTACTTAAAGACCCATTTTAAACTGCATGTTTTGCCTTAACATGACGTGGCGTAAATATATAACATTTATATGTCAATCTATTAATTTATATCACTTCAAAATATTCTTTCGACCTTTTCAATTTGACGAACGAATAACCATTTGAATAATGCGGCCCGAAAGCGCGCTCCATCGAAATAGTACCACCGATCTGGTACGAAATCGTGACGGTAGTCAACACGGGCGGTAGTCACGACTATTGTCGACTTGTGCTA